AAGAGACTAATTAATGAAATTGGCCATCTTTGCTTATCAGACCTGCTAGAAAATTGCTCTATTAGCAACAGGCTAAATGTTGTTACTAGGGAAAGTAAAAAGGCTAATGATCATGCTCATCTTGGGATAACTACAAAAATATTGTTAATGCCACCTCTGAGCTACAATTTTAACTGCAGAAGTCAGACCATCCAAATTACTGTTTCCACAGCAACTACAATTCAGTCGGCTCTGCAAAGCTTGTCATAGATGAGGACGTTACCTCTATATTATCGTTGCTGGGGAAAAGTGCACTTATTTTATTTATAGCCAAGCTGTGCAAAGTTGTATTTTGTAGTCTTTTATTTGGAAACATGGTCATTAGAGACCGACAAAAGTCCTTCTGAATCACTGAAATATATGTTTTGATACATGGAAAAATACTGCATAGCTCAGAGCTTCCCATTCACAATGTCATAATGGCCTCCAGGACAGTGAAATTTGAAAGCCCTCTATTCTTCCCTAATGAATATCCAAAATTTGAGATCTTGAGCAATATAGTCCCAGCAATCAGGCTACCAGGACAAAGAGAAAGAAGATGGTGTACTCCAAAATGGCTTTGAGAAAAACATATACTAATTTAAACATTCAGGAGACTTATACCTATTGTGTTAATGATGATTGAATTTGTGATTTTAATGTAAATAGTCTATAAATCTTGGTTTGATTTCAAGCATTTTCTTCTCAGTGGGAAAAAATATCCTTGGATGAGAAGTGACAAGAATGTTAGAAGCAAGAATAAGGTGTTCGTTCATTTCAGTTATATTTTGGAACATTTGTCAGATGCCAAAACGTTAATATGAAGTGGTTTGACAAAAACTAGTCATTTTCCGTTAGTTAACACACTTACCCTTCCAGCCCAGAAAGTTATCTGATATTGACACGGGGATGAAATTAACCTAATCCTCCGGTTGTTATTTTGTTGTTTTGGTATCTGTTTTTGAAAATGTATTAAGCAAGTTCTTGCTTATCTATTAGAGAAGTCAGTCATATCCAAGATTGCAGAGAGATAGAAACTGCCCATAAACAGATGTGGAGCTAAAAAGGAAGAGATTAAAAATGAAATTAGGTATAGAAGAATATAAACTCATGACCAAAAAAAACCGAATCACGGAATTTTTCTCTCCCCAAAAAGGAGCAAAAAAAAAAAAAAAAAGAGTTAAAGAAAAACACCTCACTAATAGTAAGCAGACAAAAAACCCATAACCTAAAGCAATACATTTTAGTAACTGGTGACTGAGTGGCTTTTGATTTCTAACCCTGCCTCCAACCCCCCTTAAAGACATTCCTTAGGGGTAATGATATCAGGAGAGGAGAATACGAAGCAAGAAAAAAAACACTGTGGACTGCTTCTGTTTATAGATGTAAAGCCCTCATGTCTAGGTTCTGAATTGGAGAACTGATCTAAAGTCGCAAGGGACCACTCCATCCGAATGTTGTGTGTTCCAAGTACGTGGAGTGAATCCTGGTTTGGGGCATTTAGCAAATTCCCAGAAGAATGAGCAGCACTTGAAGACACAAATAAAGACAACATCACCTCAGCCAGATTCTTCCTCTTCCTGTTCTAGCAGGCGTTGAAGAATAGAGAGCAGAAAGCATGTAGCCCCCAGATTCTTGCTTGAAAGGGCAAAGAAGCTGATCTCCAATATGATGGCAAGGAATCACCCACATTTTATCAGAAAAATTAAAATATCTGAAAAAATTAAAATACGTGCAAAATGGAAAGATCCAGTGTGGCAGCTACAAGTACTGCGTCAGAAAGGAGGCTAGCATGCAAAGTAGAAAGATGTGGGCTTGAAGAAGACGGGACTTAAGGAACAGAAACAGGTTCCTCACAATGACTTAATAAGAAGATAACTTGTACTCTTAGAATTTAACAAAGTATAAAAAGTGTTTTTAAAATAGCCTAAAGACAAGGTGATAAAACAAGAATAAAATGAAAAGGGAGATTTAAAGTCTGACAAATCAAGAATTAAACACATTAATGCAAAAATGATATATAAATTAGAAATGGTAACATATATGAGACCTGTTGAAAATTTGTTTACTAACAATATGAAGAGTATTCTTATAATCACAGAGAATACAGATAACAGACAAGGAGATTAAAGACAGACTCTAAAAGATATTAACACATTCAAATATTCTACACTATGAGGATAATTGGGTCCCTGAATAGAGACTCTAACAAAAGGAACAGAAGAGACACTGAAAGATATAATAAAATTTCCCAGAAATGAAGAAAGGACCAAGTCTATTCCAGGAAATATACTATGGAATGCTCAAAACGCAAACATATCTTAGTTAAGCTATTAAACCTCAAGGATAAAGAAATAATTCTTGAGATACCAAATCAGAATAAGTCAATTTCCTACAAGGGAGAAAAAAATCAAGCTAGTCTCAGACATCACTATTGCCACAGCTGGGGCCACGCTCTCTGAAAATAGAGAGAGAAAATCACTCAAGGATATTATATCCCATCAAGATGTTGTTAAAATATAAAGACAACAGGGAGACATGCTTCAACCTGAAAGAACTAAAACAACTTTGAGACCTTGTTGAAGAAAATACGCAATAACGAATGTCCAGCCAATTAAAAAAAAATAAAAATAACTCAGAAACGGAGAAGTTAAGGTGAGAATCATTAGGTTTGCTTAAATGCAGAACTAATACTTAATAACTATGTACACTAATATTACAGATCAAATATGAATGCTATCAGTTTGGAGAAAATAAAAATAATAACTAAAAACTATGGAAGGTAGGTATCAGAGATGGAAAAAGTGTAAGTACTTATGTTCTCATCTTTCCCAGCAGGAAGTCAATCAATACTTTCTAGAATTATAACATGTCTTTTAGAATGCAACACATAATTACCCCAATCTCAACATTTTATAATCTTTTTTTTTTAACCTTAGAATGATCATTTAGGACATAAAAGCTATTATGGTACAGAAACTTTTCTTTGAAGTTTAACAGTTCTTTTTCATTTTCATCTCTACTATTCAATCATAATTAAAATGTATGCTTTTTTTGTTCAATGACTAGTGGTTAAAATTTTTAATTTTAAAAATAAAATATTTTTTAAAAAGAAAAAAGTGTAGCACTAGGTATGACCCCATTTTATAAGTCTCTCTGCATATATTCTTAAAAGGTGGTC